AGGAGGATGGCGACGGGGAGAGGCAGGCCAACGGCAAGCGGTCAGAACCGTTCTTCTGGGCAGGACCGTCCAACGGTCAGCATGACCCGTCCCTGCCCACTCAGCGCCAGCATTACGATCCACCCTCTACCTCTGCTTAAACCCAAACACGTCCCAGTATGTTTCTGAATACCCTGAAGAGGCGGAATTGGCCCAGCTGAAAACCATGTTACATATTCTGAATGCCCATCTTAATTCTGCATTCGTTTTTGTAAGATTTTTCTTACTATTCCAACACGGATTCTAGCCTCATGGCTAGGATGTACATAAAAAACAAAAAAGGAAACATCTTTCGAAAACTACAGCAACAACTCCATAATCTATCTACATAAATTCTTTCCTTAGGGTCAGAAATTTTCCAGAGCCTTTCTTTCATAACATATTATTAGGCAAGGCAGTGATGAGATTATTATGTTTTCAATTAGTCATATGTGTGTCAATTAACGAAGCAACATGAGAAGGATATGAAACAAAGATAGAAGAACTCCCTTGACCTCTGATCCTACCTGTTTCTGTCCCACAGTACTTCAGTCACTCATTCACTGGGTTCTGAAGTACGGTTTGACGAGATTATACTGTTTAAGACAACAGGAAAGAATCCACACCCATTTCCTTGGTCAGTTCATCAATATGTGACTTCATATATTTGTTGATGACTGTGTTCCATCAACATATGCTAACAAACTATTTAAGACTTCCATACATCTTTAGTAAACCGACACAAATCTCTATGAAGCAGCAGCTTCCTTTTCTGGCTCTGATTTGACTCAAGTCAGAGAGTACGATATCCTTACCAATCTATACATGATTTCCTCTGAGGTTTCACATTAGATCCAGTTATCCTGGAAATGGGACAGCTGAAAATTTCAGACCATGACACAGCCTCAGGAAAAGTCTAAAACATGTTCTAATTAAAAGCATAAAATACATTCTATCAAGGAAGGCAACCAGCTTAGTGTTTTACAGACTTATAGGTTCTATTTGCTTCTGTGAAAATTAGTACTATGTATACCTAATTTATAAAAATATTAAAAATGTATTCTGGAAGATCAGTATGTCACTATTTATAAACTCCAGCCATGGGAAATCACCATGGTAACAGGAACATACATTTAACTTGGTCCTCTATGCTATGATGGAAGCATTACTAATTCAAAGAATGCAGTAAGCCTAAGACAGGCAGAAACCACAATATAGTTATCAACTAGCTAATAAAAGAAAAAGATGAGTATTTGAGATAAACAAATAGAAACATTCTGCTGTACAATGACTAACAGTCACTCTTAGAGTTGAGAGAATGTAATGTTTAAAAAGAAATGAAGCCAGGCCTGGTGGTGCACACCTGTCATTCCCACACTCAGGAAGCTGAGGCAGAAGTATCACCATGAGTTCAAGGCCACCCTCTGCTACACAGCAAGTTCAAGGCCAGCCTGGACTACACACACAGCGAGACCTTATCTCAAACAAAACAAAACAAATGAGGTAACAGAAGGATTACAAAATACAGAGTAGAAAAATTCAGAGAGAAGATCTATTGTGTCAAAATGGCTGTGTGTTAGATTTAAATAACTGCCCCGTCTTATGCTGAGAGCTGGATTCCCCAGTGCAGCAATGTCCAGTGATGGGGCTGAGGGGGATGACTAGACAGTGGGGGCGCTAACCTTATCAACAGATTAACCCGCTGATAAGCTCATTGTGCTGAGTGTGCTGTTAGGAGTGGGGCTGAGCTGGAGACAGCAGGTCCCCGAAGAATAAATCCTGTCCTCAGGGCCCTTCCTGTCTGTCTCTCTCTCCTGACTTCCGTGAGGCAAGAACCTTTCCTCTACCCTGTAATTTCACCTTTGGAGCCAGCTGACCATGGACTAAACCACTCTAACTGTGAGTCAAAATAAACCTTTTAGTTTTTTTTCTAAATCTTAGTATTTGTCACAGCAATGAAATGCTGACTAATACATCTTGAGATCTTTGTTTATAACTTCTCCTATCATACAAAACTGGATAAAACTTACTAGAGTTTTATGTTATACACATATGTATTTAGCTCAGGCCGGGATAAAAATAAAAAGATGCATAAGATCAGGTCACTGCTCTCAAAGACCAATTTTCCATGTATATACATTTATTAGTTTATTCAGTAAATATTTACTGATTGCATTTATTTGTCAGGGAACTCAGTCAATAATATATTGACCATGGGTTAAGAATTAGTAGCATAATACACAAGACAATACAGTAAATAAAATATAACAAGTAACTATAATTCCTGAAGTAGCACTACGTATGAAGTACTACAGCAAGATAATGTCCTAGAAATGTTCTTTTTCAATTTTCAGAAAGAATTTATGCTCCTACTCACACCAAAATTTAGGTTTTACTCAAAAATAAGTGGCAGAAATTGATGAAATTGTATAAAATTTACAACGTGTTTAGTTGATTAGAGGCAGGTCGGTGGTCACAGACATTTAATTAAAACACAATTCCTTAAATTAAAGACAAACACCTGTAAGTTCTTTAAGTTTCTAAAATATCTAATGGAGGAAAAATATCTAAACGGAGGAAAGTGTCACTGATGGTAGAGAAAACTTTATTTAACCGACACGAGCCATTGAATGCTCGAGCGCTTCCTTGTTCTCTTTGTGGGGTAAATATCAGACAGGGTTAACGTAAAAAGCTCTCAGTTCACTGGCAGAAGGCTCGCCAGTGTGCCAGAGAGAAGGCGGCATCCACGGTCTTAGGAGAGTGGGAAACAGGACCCCGGAGAAGTCCGGCGCACTCTGCTTCTCGTTCTGTGTCACCAGCGTTTGCTTTAGACTGTCAGTGCTCTGCTGGCAAGAGGCCCAAGTCCAGCTTAATCCAACACGAAAGAGGCAGGACGGTACCTTTTCCTGAATCCATGGAGTGCAAATGTGACTTTCCCCCAAGCAGGAAGGCAGACAAAGTTCTTAAGAGAATTATTAAAGCCTCAGCCCTGCCTATACGTGATCACTGAAAGGAGAAGACCGTTCAGTAAGAAAAACTGGAATGCTAGCTTTATCCATCGAGGAAGTATACTACCCAGGCCATCTGAGCCGCTGCATGTTTCTCAGCTGCTTTCTGTCATTCTGTATCATCTGTGCATTCAGTGAACATTCTTTAAATGCACACTGTGTTCTAGACCTAGGCTTGCAAATATTTTCTTAAAGAGACAGACAGCAGATGGTTTAGATTTTGCAGATAAGATATCAAACCAAGGAGATTACCAGAAAGAAAAAGCAATAAATCAATGAACTGATATGAAAAGCACGTACTATTTTTGACTCTCAAACCCTTGGAAGGTAGGTATTATACTTTTCAGATATGGAAACGAGGCTCAGATTGGGTATGTGACTTGGCTGTATTGATGATCACAGAGGCAGTATTCAAAGTCACGACTTCTTGACAACAGCAAACAGTATCTCCAGTACTCACATATAGCTAACTTACACGTAGAAGATGAAATGATTTCTAATAAAGCCTATACGGGGCATATCCTGGAAAACATACCACATAACACTATGGTATTAATTTTAGTTGATGTGGGTGATAAAACAAGAAACATCTGTGATCTCAGTGACCCATCACTCTCCTGCTGTCACCTGATCATCACAGCGCTCACAGCAGAAGTCACTGTTACTGTGAGGAAACTGAGGAAAGAAGAGGTTAAGTAACCGCCGCAGATCTCTATGGTAATAGAGACAGAACTTCATTCCAGCTCTTCCTAAAAGCAGAACGTTAGTTGTCTTGAGATGCAATTCTCAATTCTCCGTTTTAGCTTGTGATTACTGCCTTGTTTTTCCTTTAGTGTAGCTAAGATGTAATGACTTCCTCTTGAGTCAAAGAGACCACATAATTTGAAACTAAAAACTAAATATAATTGTTGGCACCAAAGGGTGAAATACAGTATAGTTCATGTTTCAGTAAACTTATGAAATTTATGAAGAAATAATGATGTGAAGAACACAAATCACCCTAGCTGAAAGCAAATTTCCAGAGTAGCCTTGTCGGTGATGCCAACGTACCTTCCTATGCAGAATGCAAAGGGGTCAGCGTGGAAGTTTGACACAGCCTAGAAGTAACCCTAAGAAATGCCCTGTTTCTTCTCTGCACCAAATATTTTCCACATAGTGAACAAAATCTGATGCAATTAAATACCATCATCACTCGACCTGGATGGCAAAGAGTTTTTGTATAATGTGCTGAAGTCTGACGAACTGCAGCAGAAGATTTTAGGACTGTGCTGAATGGCTCTGTAGGCCGAGTCTGAACTCTGCAGCAACAAGCGCCATGACTGATGGGGCCGCAGCCCGAATCAGGAGAAAAGGGGCGCGCTAGCGGTAGAACACTTGCCTTCACACTGCTGAGTTCCAAAGCACAAAACTTTTGAATGTACTCTGGATTTTATGCGTACTTCTGTAAAGAGAGTAGCAAGATATCCAGGAACCCAGCTCTCTTACCCACTGTAATTCTGATTTTCTGAATTGACAATATTGATGAGCAAATCCAGACTACAGCAAATTCATAATGATAAATTTTATGTGACTTCTGTCTTAAAAACAAAGTATCACGACAGCCTCCTCTTATGAAAATCCTGCCATCAGATAATCTCACACATAATGATGAATGTTGATCAATTTAGCTGTACCATTTCCAAATGTAGTAATTTCCTTTCTCAAAGTTTCCTTCACAGAAGTGTTGTGCCAGTCTTACGTGTTTAATTCTTTACACTCTCTCCATCTGTCATTATACGGTTTAAGAGTGAGAACTGAGTAGAGTAGGTTAGTTCTCTTCCAGTCTATAGTTTTGTAAGCTTGTCCACAGTAATTACGTTTCTCACCTTACTTGTGGATCTTTCTTTCCCAAGCCCAGATATACGGTCGTATTGCATTTATGACCACAGTTTCTCCTGTCCTCTCACTACCCTAACCCGGGTTTCCTAGCTTTACCTTTCGAACATTTGCCAAGCGGTTCATCATCAAAGACTCCTCCCGGTCGTCGTCGTCATCCAGGTCGAGCATGGGCATGCCGAAGGGGTCAATGATGCTGCAGCACCTAGAGCCCTCATCTCGGGGGTCGAAGGGGTCCACAATTATGGGCTCTGTTCCTTTGATCTCGCAACGACAGAAGGGGCAGCCCTGGCCATCTGACTCCTGAACAAACACAGAAAATGCACTGATCAGTCTTTGTAAATAAGGAACAATCCAAAGACATGTCAATAGTGTATCTATAATAAAATATTGCAAAAAAAGATAGAAAAGGTTTGTGGGTAGGCAGTAGGGGAAGAAAAAAGGAGTCTCCCCTCGAATTCACTTGCAATTCTAATGTACCAAAGCTCTGCTGTCCTACAGAATACCGAAAACTGTATCATGCCTTTCTTTATGAAAATGCCAGAAAGCTAACAAAACACTGTAACAGTGATGGCAAGCTGCGTGCATGCTGTACGTTTGCCACCACTGTTCTATAAGAAGGTCATTACGGTAAAAAATTTCATAATAGATAAAATAGTAATACCAATAAGAGTACTCCATCTTGAAGTTCATTCTGGAGAAGTTCCTGTGGGTATAACTATGTAAATATTTGTTTTCATTTTCTAGGTCTTTTAAAATGTTGACTTATATGGGATTCATAAGGGAAAATACACAAATTTATATTCAGAACTGTCATCTATCCTGAAAGCCTATCAACTTGATGAAACATATTTGAAATATAATACTTCCTTATATATTAATTCTTATCTCCAATCTTTCTTCAAACTAATTATTGGAAGAAGAGCAATACTGACGGCATCATAATACATAATCTCAAATCATACTACAGAGTCACAGTAACAAAAACAGTATGGTACAGACACAACAACAGACCTGCTGACCAATGAAATAGACCAGAGGTCAGAGAAACAAACTCATTGCTGTGGCTTGTGTCTAGATGTCCCCCCAAAACCCCATGCAGTCATAGGTGGGGCTTCTTCAGAGGTGGCTGGACCTAGAGTGTGTGATGCTGGGTTGATTCATGGTGTTGTGTCAGGGTCAAGGGCACTAGGATTAAGAGTGCAAGTGCTACTGCCCCTAGGTAGCCTGGATAAGATGTAAGGGACAGAAAGAGCTGTGGTCGCCCCTTGCCCACTTTCCTACCTCTGCCAATCACAAACTGTTTCTCCTCTGCGACGCCTGTCTGCCAACCACCCTGCCTTGGAGCCTCTCCAGACTGTGAGCTAACTAAACCTTTCCCCTTTCACTTTGTGTGTAAGGTATTTTGTCTCAGCAATGAGAGAAAAGTAACTAAGAGACAAAACTACATCTGTCAGACTCTTGAGAAAAGGGCCAGAAGCATACTTTGGGTCAGAAACCTAGGAATAAGACCTGAAACTGTGACACTGAATAAGGAAATCACCTGAAGGCAAAAACACAGGAAAAGACTTCCCTTTTATAACCTCAACAGCACAAAAAAGAACAGGAGAATCAACAAGCGGGATAAATCAAATTTCATGTTTCTGTACAGCAATGGAAACAATCAACCTTAAAGAGACAGCTGTACAGACTGTGAAAAACTCTTTGCCAGCTCTTCTTCAGACAAAAAATTATTATCTACAATGTACGAGTAACTCAAAAAAACCCACTTAACATTTAACACCAAAGCCAAACAAACAAAGAGCCCAATCAGTACATGCACAAGTGAACTGAATAGTGACTTCTCAAAGGAAGAAGTACAAAGGGGCAATAAGTGCATCTGAGAGGGGAGGAGGAGGAGAAAGGGGGAAGTGAAATGAGTTTACATGTGTTACAGACACGTAGAAACTCCCCATGATGAATGTAATCATTGTGTACTTCAAACGTGTACAAATTAAAAATTGAAAACAAAGTTCAGTATCTTTAGCAATCAGGGAAATGCAAATTAAAACTACACTGAGAATGCCACTTGCCCCAGCCAGAACAGTTATCAAGAACACAAAAAACACTAAATGCTCGTAAGGATGAGGGGGAAAAGGAACGTTTCCATAGTATTTGTGGAAATGTTAACTAGTGTAGCCACAATTGAAATTGGTATGGCGGTTCCTCAGGAATGTACAGCTGGAACTATTATATAATGCAGCCATCCCAGCCCATGCTATGTACATGAGGGACTTGAAGTGCTCCACTGTAGGGATACACACACACCCGTGCTCACTGTGGCACAAATGGCAACACCCAAGATACAGAACCAGCCCAGGTACCTTACCAGATGAATACAATGGAGTAGTATTCAGCTGTAACGAAGAACAAAGGTATGTCATTTACAGGAAAATGGATAGAACGGGACATCATGTTATATGAAATAGGCCAGACTCAGAAAGGCTAGTATCACATGCTCCCTCCAAAATATGGAATCTAAAGAAACAAATGCAAGTAGGGAGGTAAACAGGATAGCACTGTAAAGCAAGAGGATGGACATAGAGGTGTGGGGGTGCAAGGAGGTAACGGGGGTGGGTATAAGCAAAATATGTTACAGGCAGGTCATGTGCATGTTCTAAAGCACACTTTCAAAGATTTCTTCCAATATTCTAGGGCTTAAGATGCACTTATTGTTAACTATTCAAAGATTTGTTAAAATTTCCCAAAATAACTTCTTTAAACTAACTGTATTAATTCAGAATTATCACAGAAGACTTTTCTCACCTTGCCTTCTACAGATACACAGTGCACAAAACTCACCATCCTATTTTTGTTTTTGCATTATACCCTGACTTCAGTAACTTCAAAAAATAATCAAAATTATAAAGTCACTGTAAGGGAAAAACAAGACACATGTATCAGCATCACTTTGGAGATTTGACAGGATGCAGAAAGAGCTAACATTGAAGCAGCTGCTCAACCCACCCGCTCGGTTCAGTGGGAGACCGATGACCCCCCTAGACAATCAATGCCCAGGTCAGCAGGGTAGTAATTCGCTACCCTTACTCCAATTAGAAACTTACCCAATATCGGGGTGAAGCCTATGGTAGGTAGTTTCTTTAAACTTCCCTTGGGTTAATAAATTAAGTATCTCCTTTGCCACATCAATTGTCAAAAAAAGAAAAACATTCTTGGGACTGCGTAAAGAAAATAAACTACAACACAATACTACTTATTTGTTTTTACATAATTTGAAAAACAAAATGGCAAAATTTTTGCACTAAGGTGGTACAAAGAAATACAGACATGTCTGTGTAGAATCCTTTGATGTCTACCACCGCACATGTTCAGGTCTGGAAGCAAAACCACCCTAAATGCTTTGCGTCATTGTTGTTCAGGTGATTAAAATGAAATTTAATTCTTTACTTTGGATAATCTCTTCACATTGATATTTCCTAAGACAGGAGTAAATACTGAAGGAGATCTAAGCCTTCCTCCCATTTTTCAATAAGAACATTAAATGTAGAGTATATTCAATATGTTATCATCTACGTAAATCCTCATAATTAAAAAGCTACAATGGACCCATTCCGTGGTGGATTTACCTTACAGATCTACATAAGGTACTTTCTAAAAAGTTGGTTTGACTACACAGGAGGGAGCTGCAAAAGTACTGCTGCTCTGTGTCCTTAAGGAAAAAGAAGATAAAGTAGTACTCTGTGCCCTAAGCAGACATTTCCTTCATAAGTACATCTAAAACTACTACAGAAAATTTCAAACACATGCATGAGTAAACAGAAAAGTATAATGAATCTCTGTGTACCCGCGCCCACCAACCTCCCCAGATCCTTCTACTTGGGATTATTTTGAAGCAAATCCTACACATTACATAAAGTCATCGATAAACATTTTAATAGGTGTAAGCAGAAACAGCAAATCTTTTAAAGAACTACAGCATAATTATCATAATTTACAATGCAAGCTCAATCATTACAGTCACAGCACTTTTGAGGGCCATGTCTAACCACACGGCCTGCTCTGTCAGGCTGCGAAGGGCTCTCTTAGACCTCCGGAGCGCCACTCACACCTCGTTCTGGTGACAGAGGACTTAGGGGTTAGGCGCTCTTTTTCCTCACAAAGGTAACTCGAAAGATCCCAGTTCTGAAGGAGGAGGAAGTGAAAGAGAAGGGTAATTTTGTGACAGTACAAAGACTTGGCACAGTTCACCTAAAACTTCCATTTAGGTCTTTCTCGAACCTTCCAACTTGAAAGTTTAATGTAATACAAACTACTAATGTGTGGCAGAGTACCCGCTCTAACGTATCACAGAACGTATTTTCTATGCAGCTTTCCTTGACTGAAGTTCCTACTTCAGATCAACTCGAAAAGTGCAATGACTACTCTGATTTGCAAACAGATCACACAGACTGTGTCTCCTTACTGGCACTTACTCGTATGTGACTTCACCATCACTCTTCCTTTACACACTGAACACAGCCATATGCAAATTAAGTCTGACCATAAATTCTCAAGTGTTACTTTGGTAGTCTGCCCTAGTTTCTGTCATATGATTGAGTGAATACACATGAAGAATGTCTGTAATAGACATATAACTCATCAGGATTGTCCCTCAGTAATTAAAATAATGTTTCTGTCAATATATACTTAATAGAAGATGAAAGAATGTATGTTTAATGAAGCAAGACTAATAAATAACTCCTTTTCTAGTCTTTAACATATTCGTATTACATGAATGTTAAGAGGAAGTACTTAGAAGTTCTTCTATTCTAATTGACTCAGTAGATTTCACTTCTTCAAATAAGAAACACTTCCAAACTCAAAGAATACAGAAATTATCAGTGAATACATACCTGAAACTCACCTATGTGCTATATTAAGTAATTCAGACTCACATCCCAATGACTAATTTTTAAAATTTTTTTGAATAGGAAATATTTACTGAGAGAAAGAAAGCTTCTGTCTAAGAGGGACACAGTGGGGCCCAGAAAGTGGATTGCCCTCCATTCACTAACACTAAAAGTTAATGATACACTTTAGGTAACTTCAGAGTAAACTGACAATGACAAAAACATAGAAAAAAATGTAAATTTCAAATAACAAATTCCCCTTTGCTCACGAACGTCTTATATATGTTTTCTCTTAAATATTTTTAAAGATAAAACTTACATGAAGTATAATTTATTCATTTTCAGAGTGATTAACTATTAGAGGCACACTCTGACTTCTGGTCAACCACTTTAAGCCTTCTCTCACATGCAGTG